CGCGAGAAGGAAAGATGGAGAAGCAAGGGGCAGGTTACGGCTCAACGCGAGAAAGAAAGAAAGAGGGCCAGGCAGAGTTGTTTTGCGGGACTTAAACCTAAACCCCCCCCCCGTACCCAACCACACACACACACACACACACACACACACAAGGAACTTAAACTCTCCCATTTTAAAAGGGAAAAAAAAGTTTGTGTTCCTGTTACTGTAGCAGTTCCTGCGCAGCCAAACAGGGAACTGCTATAATATTAGGAACGCTTTCTTTCTGAAAGAAAAGTTTCTCCTACAAACAAATACATCCTTAGGGATCCTAGTTCTTACTATTAGGGATCTCGATCCCAACCTTAAAGATCAAGACAACCAAATAGATGATTTTCATTATTTACAGCCAGCTAGCTATACTTTTATTATAGTTACATTACTTGCAGCTATAGTAAAGAGATCCCTACTTTAAATAATATACCTAGACCTGGACTATACATGTTCTTTGAGGTTAAAGCGAGTTCCCCAAAAGGTTAGGTTCTCAATTCCTGAACATTTGGGGATCTAGATCCCTAACAAATGCATTGCATGGACAATGCTCCCAGCCATAGGGATCTTCTAATATTTTATGATCCTGATCCTGATCCCACTCCCACTCCTGGTCCCTCTTCCAATCTCAACAACTATGATCGATCTTCATATATGGTTTTTGCCTGCAAGGAAGAGAAGGGGGGGGGGAGGGGTTGGTTATGCTTATACTTTAACCTTTATATTTTGAGATAACTATGGAAAAAACTACGAAGTTGTAATTCATTATGACCAACCCAAATTTAAGAGAAATTGATGTGTCTTCATCCTTTACAGTCTACCCTTGGAGATCCCACACTGCTGCTCTTAGTTCCTTCTGAAAGCTCCAACTGTTGGATTCTCTGTTGATTCTCTTCAATATCTTCTCGCTCTGTCTTCTTCAGTGTCCGGATTGGGGGGAGAGACGTCCTAATGACAGGAAGCAAATGTCTGAGCAAGTGAGGGATGGTTGACCCACTCAACAAAAACTAATATCTTGACTGGCTAGAGGCGGCGCATCTCGAGTGAGATCGGCCGTTTAATCAATTGTCGAATCCCTTTCTTTCCCTGCTTGCAATCTCTCCTTCCCTGCAACCTCGGATGGAATAGTGCGATGCCACCCTCCCTAGCCCCGCCTCTCTTTTCTTTCCCTAGCCAGAGCTTTGACTGATTGGGGAGAGAGTCATTTCATGATGAAAGTTCAAACAATTGCAGTGTATGAAAATAGAAACGAGCAATGAATAAACATGTATAAAAAAAAAAGTGTAAATAATGAGCAGCCTGAAGCTCTGAACAATACTAGTTTCGTATATTGTTATCATACGGACCAATTGGAGTGGAGAGGATGATCTGATGTTCTCATTTTATGTAACTCCAAATAGGGTACGTATGCATGAGAGAAAATTACTTAAGATCCTAAGTAACAATAAGTACAAGTTCATCCTAGTGGGAAAGACAGCAATATCCTTACAAATTCTATTGCATTAATTTTCAGTGGAAAGGAAACAATGAACAGAGAAAGCGCATACTGACAGAGCAACAAAAGACATATCTAGAACAGTATAGAAATTTGACCTGAGATTATGGATAATAAGTAAACAAGAAATATTCAAAAAGGTGGAGGCGACCACCTAGCCAGGGACCATAACTGCGGGCGCCCACATACCTAGGTGGCCTTAAGCGGAGGGTTTGGGGTGGGGGCGCATCTGTCCTTGTATGTTTGTGTATGTGTACGTGTATGTAGCTTGTGTGCGTGTGCATGTGTGTATGTGTGTGTGAGGGGAACATCTCAACATCTCATCGAACACTTGGAGATCTTCTTCTTTTTTTTCTTTGACAAGTTTACATAGGAATAAACTTGAGATGTAGTGCTATGAAAACCCAGCTGCTACCGTCTTGACCCAAGCCCAATTCCTTGGAGGTCTTCTTTTTCTTCTTACATATAAAGAGAGAACATATGGGTCCATGTATGCCTTTGTGTGTGTATGGTATGTGCGAGAGAGACAGGCCTTGCATTAAACACTTGGAGGCCATCTTCTTCGTCTTATATATGGAGAGCACATGGGTCAATGCCAATGTGTGTGTGTGTGTGAGAGAGAGAGAGGCCTGAAGGAGCCCTTATTTATTTTTGTTTTCAATGTAGGTTTCTGTTTTTTTCAAGGGGTTGGCACTAGGCTGGTGCTCCTACCTGCCTAGGTGGGCGTCTTTGGGCATGCCTGCCTAGACCTCCTCGCCTAGGCGGATTATCGGCCAGGTAGCTGGGTGGCTGACTTTTTCAACGCTGTAAACAAGAGAATGCAGTATTCTCTAATTGTGCCTGACACATGCTTATACTTTTCTGTCTTGATTGGTGATTTCTCACACGCCTATGACTAGGCATGATTTGTAGGTGGTTTAGGGTTTTCAAATCTATCATTTGTCTCCATTCCAATCATCCTCTCTTCTAATGGGAATGACTTGGTTTCAACTTTCAACCTAAATTGTTCTTTGCTTGGAAGATACTTGAAGTGGCTGAGTTTTAAAAACTGAGAACCTTTTTTTTTTTTTCTGTTGTAGAAACTGAGAACTTTTTGTGGTGACAAATATTGTTATGGGATACATTTTTCTATTTGAGAAGTTTCTTTTGAATGCTTTTATGAGAAAGAGGTGAAAATAGTTTACACCAGTATGTGACAAATTGTTGTCACCAATGCTGTTCATTTGAACTCAGAAATGGGATGGGTTTCCAGCCAAAATTCTTTGATTCTATAGGCACTAGAGCACGACGATGTTGCCTCATGGAAGTGTAAAGATCATTTCCCTGCAGCATTTGATTTATTGTTGAGTAGTTAGTTCCTCGAATTAATGAAATTGTGTAAAGAAAGAAATAGTCTTAAAAAGTAGTAGGATTTTTTTTTTTCATAGAACATCTTTTAAAACCTGAAGCTGGGGAGACTTGGAGGGGGACTTATGCAGATCCGGGTAGACTCTGGTCACCGGAGTCGGGTTCATCCAGGACGAGCAGGGTGCCAGTTCCAAGTTACTAGGTTGTCCAATTGCAAGTCCGACTGGGACTCACAAAGTTTTCAAATACTGTAGGGGGAAAAAAAGGCAGTATAAAAGAAAAGAAAAACTTAGTGGGGGCTTGTGTGGTGCAGTGGTAACAGATGCTGCGAAGGGCATGAGTAGTGAATGGGAGCGCTTTGATTTTGACAAGGATGCTCCACTTGATGGTGATGATGTGGAGGTGGAAGGTATGTCTCACAATTATTGAATTTAAATAAACTGATTGCTTGTTGGTTGATGTATTTAGGCAAAAAAAATTGTATGTTCGTGTAAAAATATTTTCATTTGGCTACTGGGCATAAGAACTTTGAATAAATTTTATTTCCTTTGTTGGCTATGTGAAACCTTGTGACCTGGCCAAACAAGAGCCTTTGCAAGTTGAGATAGATTTCGTTATTTAGTATTCATGAACCTGGTGTACCCATGGTAGTAATTTTCATTTCCCATTAAACCACAGCTGGTGGTGGAGATGATGCAGGGCTTGATACAGGAAGAAACTTTCGCTTTGCTGCGATGGAGGTATGTGTTATATTTGATGTTTTGAATTTCTTTAGAATTTAAGACACCGTGAGCATGTTGTTTGTGCAACCTCTTATAAGCTGCACCATCTGAATTCTGGTTCTTTGGCTTCAAAGGCCAACAGAGAAGCCCAGATAGAGGCTGCTCATGATCAAGCCATCTTTGGTGCACCTGTTGGTTCTGCTGCCCTATCTGATGAAAGATCGCCGGCCCCAACTGATGAGGACAGATCAGATACCAAAGGGAATGGATTTGCCGAGAACATCATCAGTGAAAGGGTATGAAATCTCTCTCTCTCTCTCTCTCTCTCTCTCGTATTGGACCTGGAAAATCTCATTTCTAGGTTTTCATGTAGGTGTTTGCAATGCAGCAAGGGTCGTGGCGTGACCGAGCTCGTAAAGTTCAACAGGGACCAAAAGACTTATGAAGAATGCAATCGAATTTGAAACCCAAAATCAAAATCAGCACCGTAGGCTCACTGGAGATTGGAGGTAAGAAAATCTTTTAAAGCCTGGTATCTAAAGGGACCTTTCTCGACTATATTAAAAGAGGATAGTAGTTCGAGTGGCTGAATGGAAAAAAGGTGAGAGAAATGCAGACAACATGACATACAAAGTTATGAATGGCGAGGCATAGAATGAGCTATCCTTGTAGCAGTTTTCTCATCTGCAGCAGTGATCACAATGTGAAATTTCGTCCCTTCTCTTTTTGACGAAGCCACCAAAACTCTCAATATTTCTCTTGTATTATGTGTTAATCGTAAATATCTAATTGCTTTTATGCTAATATAGTTGTGCGTTACAACCACCCATATAGTCTTCATGGTTCTCTCAATGATGTGTGAATTTTCTTGCCTGCTTATGCGTTGATTCGGATTCAAGTCTTGGATATGTCATTGCTTTGTTTCATCCTTACTAATCCAGAAGCTTGCATCCCCGTTTGCTAGAAGAAATGCTATGTGGTTTTCAAGCGTTCCATTTTAACGATTTGGAAATCTTCTTCTTGGGTTTGAGACCAACGAGTTAGCTAGGGATATCATCAACAGAGTTGATTAGTCCAAATTGAAACTGAGCCAACTTGTGACTTCTCTGAACTCGTGAGAGCATTGAACTGGAAGAGGGAAAATTGCGATCGTTTTTGAAGAGGAACCATCTAAATCAAATGGCGATTCTTCTAGCAAATGGGGATTTCAAAGACTTGGGCTAGCAGATGGCGCAACTGGCTGCAATGTGAGATCTGAGATTTATAAGCCCAAAAAGAAGAGGGAGTAGATTGTTCATAGATCTCTCCCCGCTTCCTTCCTCTGGCTCATAGTGATCAAGAGAAGCAGCAGGGAAATTTGCGGCTTAGAAGGGCGTGGGTGACAGAAGAGATGCTACAGGGATAAAGATTTTCTCATTTTCTATCCGTCCCACTGAATGTTCGACACCCTGTTACATAGAAACGGGGATGTGTTCATTTATGAGTTTTAGAAGCGTGAAACTGAGAGAAGTTCATCTAGATACAACACATTTATACAATTTATAGGCATATATATGACTGGACACGTGTGTTATCGGTACCCTCGTATATCGTATACTGCAATTCATATGTCATAATAACAATAAAAATTAGAAAAATTAAATTAAATTAATAACAATGTGATTCTGGATTTTATTTGCTAAAATGTTCCCATACTCCATAAGGATGGTCATTGGATAAGGCCCTAATAGATTCTCCAAAATTAAATTACTAATTGCAGGCTGATTATTAGTGCGAAGTATAGCAGCCTTATCGGATGATAATTGGATGAGGCCCCAATAGTTTTTTGTTTTTTTTATTGTTAACCGTAATTTCTTTTTTTGGGTGCGTTAGTGGGAAGAGGGCCTTTAGCCTTGGTAAGAATTGAGCCTAGGACATAGCCTTGCAATTCGTCAAGTGCTAACCAATTAAGCTTGGGCTCTTTTCCGGAGGCCTTAATAGATTCTTCAAAATTACATGTGCGTACCTGTTATTCCCTTTTAGATCGATCATTTTCTAAGATTAGGTCATCAAACGCCATCTTTTGTCAATTTTGAAAGGTCTATTTTTGGTATATCATTGCCGGGAAAGGTTTCTATATTTTCCCTAAAGCATAGAAGATCTATGCTTCTTTTACCATTTAGCCGTCCAATTTTAATCAAGAGAGCCACTATCTGTTTGATTTTAAGATCCGACGTCTCAAAGTATTTTATTTTTATTTTTATTATACAAAGTGTATGAACATGAAATTTGGTACATGTCATCTTCTCATACGGGCGCACCTATAAAAAAATATTAAAAAGTTTTTAAATAAAATATAATGACTAAAATACCTTTTATATTATTGGGAATATTGTTTTTATATTTTTCGTTTGTGCGAGTTTAATAGAGGATTGGCATACAAAATTTGGCGTTAAAATAGTTTGTAGAAAAAAAATAAAAAATAAATTAGTGTAAAGATGTGAAACTGATGAACGAAAGGTAAAAACCATATCAAACTGATGATCGAACCTTTATCCTTTTCAAACACAAATTTGCTCAATTTCATGAGTGGTATGAGAGCGCGCAAAACTCTTAACCTTTGATAAAGCACAAAATGATAAAATAAGAAAATAATAGAGGACGAAGGTGGAAAGAAAAGCCACCAAAAAACTCAAAGCATAAATCCGAAAAAACTAACGATTTTCATTAACATTCAAAAAAGTAAAAAAACGGGAAACAACTGCTGTCACAACATCCAACAAATGGATTGCTTCCACAAGTAAACTGCAACTCAAAATGAAAGTTCCAAAATCAATCCTAGTACCGTGATTCTCAAAATTCCAAAATCAATCCTAGTACCGTGATTTTCAAAATTGAGATCGTCATTCCGATAGTTTACATCATCATCATAGCTTTTTTTCAATTATTTAGGGTTGGTTATACGAATCCTGGTCCGCCAGTTTGCTCTATTGTCATACCTTCAGTGAGGCCATAAGTCCTCATATCTTTTCGGAATATTTTCGACCACAACCTTGTGGCCCTATCCCTTACGCTTTTCAACCCTTCTACTTGAATTAAGTTGTACCTCCTAATAGGTGTTATACTGGGTCGGCACCACACATGACCAGCTCATCAAAATTTACTCTATCACATCTTATCGTCGATTGATGCTACACGTAAATTTTTTCAAATTGATTAATTTCGAATTCTATCCCTTCTTGTCATGCCACTCATCCATTTCAACATCATCATCTTCGTTATACTCATTCTATGAGTATACTGTTTTTTGTCTGCCCAACATTTCGCCCTATAGAGCAAAGCTGATATCACAACTGTCCTATAAAACTTGCCCTTCAAAATACAGATATGTATGTCTGATAACCTAAATAGATAATGAAAATAACTAAAACAAATAAGATAAAACAAAAAATAGAACAATGTAAGAAAAATAATATGGGTCGACCATATGAATGTACTACCATGAAGGAATTCGATTGTTGGAGATTTATCCCCGGGTAGCTGATCCAAGTTTTCAAACACTGTACCAAAAAGTACAAGCACTATTAGCACTCGCCTGTGTTTCAGGAAACAACTTAGATACAGTAACGTCATATGAGGTATCCACTTATTGAGAACAAAGGTTTCTCGTCTATTCATGAAATAATCGTTGTACAAAACTTGGGCAAACCGACTAAAAAAAAACCACTACCAAAAAAAAATCCAAGAAAACCACTAAAAGAATGCAAGATAATGGAGAAATCTACTTAAAAAGAAAGTGAAAAATGGTACACAAGTATAGGTGAAAAACTCTTTTGAGAAAGGAAAATCGAGGCCAATAAAATTCATTAAGCAATAACAAAAGGAAGTGCCGTCCTAAACTTTGTTTTTTTTCCGACTTGAGGTTGTCTTCCCTCTACAAAATCCTTAAAAACAAAAAAAATAAATAAAAATAATGTCAAAGGGATTTCATGGTTTTTTGGGGATTTCTACGTACGAACCTGGGAGAATTATTGAATTTACCATTTTATCTATAAGTTTGGTAATTTTACCATCAGGACTTTCTCCCCCATTTTTATCATATATTTTCAATTTTGCCCTCGATTGTATATTTAAAATATTGAACGACCTTTTTTAAAAAAAAAAAAAAAAGGGGGATTTTTGGGGCGGCCAGGTTTTTAATATATCGAACGACCCCATTTGTAAGGCAGTTTGATAATTGCAACATCATACTGCCCTACATTTTTTTCCAACGTTGTATATAGAGCAATCTAATGTTGCAAACATCGGACCACTTTTTTTTTATAGTTTTGAAATATTTTAGTAGTTTGAGCTTTCAAATATTAAACCACTTTTGAACTGCTTTTTCTCCCGTAAGTATATACGGTCAGATATTAGGAAGTTTGGACAACTAAAATATAAAAAACCAATGGTTTAAGAAAAGGATCGGTGACCCGGATCGGGCTTCTAAAAAACCGATCCGGATCGGCGAATCGGCGATCCGGATCGGGAATCGGGTGAATCGGTCAGAATAAAGTTAAAAAAAT